CCAAGACACGCCGCCGGATATTGACTTCAGAAATAAGCATGGCTAGTCCCCTACGGTGTCTATGGATACTGTCAGGAGAGACATAGCGCTGTCTTTGATCTCGCCGGATACGGATTCAAGGAGGAAGGCTACCCTGTTGTCGACTACGAGTCAGCACTTCAGACCGCCAAGTCGACAACAGTTAGATAGGCTACCCCAAATATTGTACTGGTGTGATTATGGTGAATAAGAGCAACGACCGGCTTCGGCCAATAGGAGTAGGGTTATTACCTGACAATTTAGGGGCCCGAACCTGTATAAAAATCCTCGTCTCCATCTTTTTTACTACAATCTCGTATATATTCTAGTATCAACGATCCCCATACTATGTAAATACCGGAATCGCGACATCAAACATCCACAGTCGTCGTCAGATTTTTCATGTTCTTCCCATCAGGGGGTCATCCACGAGAAAGGCAACCAGCTAGCTCCGGTGAAGAACCCTCCCTCCCTCCCCCTTCGCATCGACAAAAAGGAGGCAGCTAGCGAGCATCCTCCCCTATCCGAGATCATTGCCGGAGCCAGAAAGGCCATATCCCTGGTGCTTCCTCCCTCCCCCATCACCATACCCTTGGCATGGAGCTCGGCTCGCTGGATCCACCGGCCTATGATTCATGCTATCCTGGACCTTGCCGGTCCCACCGCCTCCGAATAAGGTAGGAACCCGTTCCCGGACTGCATTGCCTCGGCCCGCTTGAGGATCAGACGATGACCATGCTCGATGTGTGGTGCCGCAGTCCACCATGATCCGAACATCGACACCGCTAATGTGTCCCAGAGCTCGCTAATGAGGAGAATAAGGGAAAAAAAGAAGGAATAAGATGAAAAATTTGATGACGATTGCATGGTTTTAATTTTGCAAAAATTTAAATGGCACCTAACCGATATCGTGAACAGTAGTGTCATTTTTTTCAAATTGGTAAATTTGGAATGGCATGATCCAATTAACAATTTTTTAATATATGACTTTTGTACATACATTTGATTATCCATCTTTTTTTATTTGATTTGTTATTAATATTTTTTTTAATCATAACATATACTTTTTATGTTTGCAGAAAAATTTTGAATAAGACAAATGATACAAACATTTATCAAAATGTCCACGACATCATATATTGAAAACTAGAGGTATTATATTATAATATTAGCGTATAAATTGTGAAATAAACGACATGTGTATTCAGTTTTTAACGCTTCAGTCCTCCAGTTGTGTCTCCCTCATTTCTATTGAAACTATAAATTATTCCCTTAAAAGAGAGGCCTTATATTTCGTAAATACTCTCTATAGTGCATTTTTTAGACTTTCAAGTACTTTGTTTGTGATTGGTAAAAGCAAACATACTTTGTCTATACCAACATGATAAAATAGTGTATGATGAATAACTAGTCAACAATGCTTCATTGATTAGGGGTCTGTTCTGTTTTCCATGTCCTTTAAGTAAGGGGAAAATGAACATTTGAAGAGCACAAGATGACAAGAACTGTTGCGTTCGAAAAGTATGTTTTTTCTCTACTAATCGGTTGGATTATGGATACGATGATTTACTTCTAGGACGAGGGAGCCTCGTCCAAAATAGGCTAGGAGGGCAGATATAGATCATAAAAGGGCATTAGGGTTGAAATGCACTTGATAGTGCAGTGACTAAGAACGTGTGATTTTAACCCTAAGGCCCTTTACTTAAATTCCTAGCATGCTCACAATTTACCGAAGATACCACCGGTATATCATTCCAATGGAATAGCTGATGTCATGATTATGTTAGCATAATATCTAGGTACACCAGATCCTATACCTATCGGATCATGCTAACGTCGGTATAGTACCTGGTACCATATCTGATGCATATAGAGTATCGTGCTAACGACAGCTATTCCGTTGTAATGGTATGCTGTTATATAGTCTACCTCTTTTTATTTTGTCACTTAAGTTTAAGGCTTGATTAGAATTTTAGACAGGGCCTCCAAATTTCAGAGGACGGCCCAGTACGAGGCAATACTGGACTCCTAGCCTCCTGGCTAGTGATGTGGGCTTAAAAGAGCTGATCCCAGATGGGCCCTTTTATTTTAAGCCCACGACAGCCTTTGATCTCGTGTGTTCTTTTCCCCACGTTAGTGAATCAATCAACCTTGCCAAGTGCCAACTAACCTACTCCTATAGTTGATTCCGTGAAATCCCTGCCAGTGGTATAGTCGTACATGGTCCTGTTATAATTAATGCCACTTTTCACGATCCTCAGTTCCTTATTATAGTGCTTATCTATATGCATGTGCAGAATAGAATCATAGATTAGCCAATTTGCAGTACCTTTTTTTCCCTTTGAGAGTACCAACTTGTAGTTATACACCAATATACTTAACCACACAGCGAACAGTAACACCTCCAAATCTCAATTAACAAAACAGAGGAAAAGATCGAAGTGTAGTAATCTCCAGACATGAGTGAGGTAGTACAAGCAACGTACTACCAGTCTACCACCACCAGTAACAGCAAGCCTCGCAGCCAATCGATGACCGGTAAACCGCATCAGGTTCGCGTGGTAGTACAAGTGCAGAATCGTGTGTGGAGGTACTACGCGCCCCCCGCGCGCGCGACGGCGCGAGCGACGCGGATTTCTTTAAGTTTTTCCGCACGGTGTTACATGGGTTTGCGTCTCCGCTAATCGAGCGCCTCGCGCGCACACGCGCGACGGTTGGTTGGTTGGTTCGGTTTGTTTAAGATTTTGGTTGATTTCATCGAGCGATCCCGCGAGCGTAGACGTGACTGCGCAGCCGCCGCGCGGGGGTTTTTTTATGCAGTTGAGTGAATGCGCGCGTGGTCCTCTTTCTCTCTCTCGGCTCCGAGTCTCGTGACCCCCGCTGCTGGAGTCGTCGGCCGTCGTCGTCGACGCTGATTCGGTGATTCTCGTCCCACCAACCGGGTTTTTCTATAGGGTGGGTTTACACTTTACAGATTAGGTCGCTTTCCACGTCGGCCGTGGCCGGTCGCCGGCGTGACAGCCTTAGCTTACGGCGGCGACGGCAGCGGCAGCGGTGTTGTGTAGCGCCTGCCTTCGTACAAGGATGGTAGGGTATCAACAATGCAGTCAAACTTTTTTCTTGTAAACTAAACCGGTAAAAAAATTTGTTAATTATATTTTTGATAAGTAGGAGAAAAACGTATATGGTTATATGGTAGTTTTAGAAGTGACATGGTAATAACACATAGCCGTTATATGTAGACCGAGGTCACACATTTTCTCCATAGCGCTAGTGGCTTCAATTGTTATCTTTGTTTTTCTATGTCAGTTTATGATATTTTCTATTACAATCATGTTTTACTTAATTTACAAATAAGTTCAAAGTATTGCACTAAACACCACCAAATCTAGAAATTACAAAAAAATCCCCTTGCACTCTCTCTCCCTCAATGTCTCTCCCTCTACGCCAATAAGCTCGATCCCCACGGGTGTGGATAAAGAGCTCTCCAGCTGACACTGCCTCTCCTCTATTTTTCAGCATATATCAAAGGCATCTCTCTTTTTGACCGACGAGATCTTTAGCTAAGTCATCGTTTTCTTTCTCCAAAGCAAAACAAAGGCGGATCCACTTTGCCAAAGGATCCACTGGGTGATCTCAAGACTAGGGCCAATGAGGTCATTGACAGCTAGATTCATAGATCAGGCGATGGGTAGCAGGTTGGGAGTGGCCCATAAACAAGGAGAGATGGTAGAGCAAGCTGATGAGCTCTACAATGATGGGATTGTTGTGGCTGAGGGATGAGATGAGCATGGGACTAAATCTACATCGACAAAGCATCATACAAATAGGCCTCTCGATCTTCTTCTCCTCCACTGCGCTTGTTTTCACTTCCTAACCCCATCATTAGCCTCTCTTTTTTTTGGTCGAGCTAGCGAACACTAGCCGAAATTTATTAAGAAAGTGCAAGAAATTTACATGCTACAACCAACGGCAAGTCGGTCTCCTTCTTTCATTGGCCATCACCCGTTGGAGCTCCGCGCTCGGAGAGGAGGTGGACTGCACCGCATTGCTAGAGCATGGCCTCGCCGACCATGGCTTGCGAACCATGCCTCCACGCTCGAGTACCCTTGCCCTGACGAGGCGTGTGTCTTTTGTAGGGCACGACTAAGGCTAAGGTTTAAGGCCCCCATCCTTTGGCCAAATACATATAATACGCCATTCGGCGTATTAGCAAAATAATAATAATTTACAGATAAGACTTTCATATATGTGTTTTTAGCGACTTAAATACCAATGCTGGAAAATAAACTTCGATGAAAAACTTTAAAATTTCAAATTTTGGTAGCGGCTAATGCTGATTGAAGGAAACGATGGGGACCTAAGAGCATCTCCAGCAATAGACCTTATTTTGAAGCGTCTAAAAGTTAAATGAGGGCTGCCCCCATTTCTCAAGGACTAAAAAATGCCTCCAACTCCAGCAGTAGCCCCTATTTCTTAGTCCCTACTCATGTTTATCTTGTATTTTAAAATACAATCCATATACAGTATGTTTAACACCACAAAAATTCGAACACAATTATTTCTAACTCACATAATTTAACCATACTTAAATTCACAATTTCAAACACTACAATTCGAATACAAAATTAAAATTTTTAAACATGTAAATATGGTATGGGTACAGTGCCATATACGACAACAAGATGCAACCAAGATTCGTAATTCACCAATGAAAATGAAAATTGCTCATAAAAAATACACTATGTGAACCCAATGATGCATTATATAATTTAAAAATAATACATCCTACAACCATGAATGATTCGATTATAAATAACAAATCTGAAAGTAATATATGTCCTACTAGCAAGTGACACTAAAATTATTGTGGAAATAATTAACAAAAAAGGACTCCAAAGACCAATCGTGATAATGGCATATCCTACTAGTAAAGGACACATGGATCATCCAATAGAATCCAACTTATTCCATCGAAGTGCTCAAACTTCTCCATTACCGCCACCAAACTCACCTCCAAAGCCACTACTACCATCAAATCCACCATTGAGGGCAGCCACCTTTGAAGCTGCAATCTGTGCCCTCATAGCCAACACATACGTTCTCACATCCGGTTCCAAGGTGGAAACATCACAAAACATAATCTTCTGTTCTTGATCCCACACTAACTTACGCTCAGCAAATAAGAGCTTGCGCTCTTGAATCTCCTTAGTTTCCTTCCATCTCTCTTCTTTCAATTTCGCTTCTTTCTCTTTAGCGTCAAGCAAATCTTTCATCGCCTCTTTGTATGGTCCATCTTGTCCTCCATTCTTCAACTTTTCCTTTGCTTGCTTCCTACCTATTGGTCTCTTTTTAGCACTCGGCTGAGATAAATCAGGAGCTGTACTCTTGCTAGCATCATCTCCTTCATCTTCTTCACCAGCTCTCTCAATTGGGGTCGAAGACTTCCTAGACCGTGGCCTCTTGTGGGATTCTAGTGTTTGAAACTTTGGAGAATTCCTCAACTTGAGCCAACAATGATTAAACTGAAATGCCCTATTCTTTGGTGCAGTGGACGAGTATAATGCCTCAGCTTCAAGAACCTGCAACATAATTTAAGTTTTAATTCACATACATACAAGATTGTTATTAATAATAATAAATAAACAATTTAACTTACAAGCTCTTGATGTGGTATGCCACTTGGATGACGACGCTCAATTTGATTGTAGCAACCTTGAAACTTGCTTACTTCCTTCTGAATGTTACCCCAATGGTGCTCAAGAGAGTTTGCATTCCTATCAGACTCAAAATCACGGTTAGCATGGTAGTGCTCTGCGATCCTCTGCCAATATGCCTTCCCTGGTTGCTCATTGCCAATAATAGGATCTGAGCTAATGCTCTGCCATGAAATGCACAATTGAATGTCCTCCTTATGAGTATAGTTGCTTGATCTTTTGGCACTTCCTTTTGCACCATTTGTTGAAGTACGAAGGTCTTCATTTGGCATTAGCACTTCGACATCAGTGTCCTCGGACATCATGCGCACAAAGGAATCACCTCCACTTGTCATTGCAATCTAGTCACTGCAATAAATATATAAATTGACAACCTTTCCAATCTATCTCAGAAACATCAACAAGTGATTGCAATGTACATCAGGTTATACTGTTTGCAATATGTATTTATTTAGCATATATATTGGTTGCGCAGTACTAAGGACTCAGTGCAAACACAAATTTATTTCTTAAATATTATATATGCTCTGCAAGATTAGCTCTCTGACATAGAACAAGACACTGCATATAAAACATGAATGATGACAATGTACGTTTTGCTGTGCGAATGATTTAGATGGGCCTAGACGCCTAGTAAGCCCATAAAGATCAAAATCAAACAAGGAGACTCAGACATACGAAACTGAACTTTACTATTGTGATTTGTTTTAATCACCATCATCTCTGAATTTTTTTACTGCAGCATGTGTGCGGCCGGTGATAGATAGCTGTCGATGGTCGGCGCTAGGCCTTGTGGACAGCGGGTGGGCAGCTAGTTCGGGGAGGACGTCGAGACTCACCTGGGCATGATCAATCGGTGACGACGTGCGTTGGCCGAAGATGCAAGGAGGTCGGCGACAGTGAGTGACGGAGTAAAACCGATGATTGTGATGGCTTGAGGCGGCACACCATGGGATCTCGCCGAAGTTTCTTCCCGAGGGATGTCGGGTGGTCGCCGACCGGAGCAAAACGACCTGGCGGCTTGCTCGCTGGGAGGTTGTGGGAGGATGGCGATGACGCGGGAGGGAGGATGACGATGGCGCGCGCTCAGAAATTTCCCCCGCCAAAAAAAAAGAGGATGGGGGCTGTGGGGTTGAGCCCCCCGGACTGGGGGCTTGGAGGAGTGATCTAGGGGCCTCCCTAGATTGGGGGCTCTAGTAGGGAATCTGCTGGACCTATATTTTTTTGCATCAACTCTCAAAACTTATTTAGGGACTTTGTTTGAGGACCCTGTTGGAGATGCTCTAAGTAATTAAGAATTTTCTTTGGTTTTATTAAAATTAAGCTGGTTACTATAGTTGGTGTTAAAACTTTTTATTGGACAGCGACGTACGTCGTGAGGGGATTAAAGAATCGGGCAAGTTGGCCGAAAGCCAACGTGGTTCGTGTGGGCGCTACCGCGGTAGCGAGCGAGAGGTGCATGCACCTGTCAGAAAACGGATGCACCACCCAGGGAACGGACATCTTGTTTTTTCTTTTTTCTTTCCGGAATCCGGCGGAGAGGAACGCCTGTGCAATCCATGAAAACCGCGGCTGGCTTTGGGGGGGCTTTAGCTACGGAACAAAATTTTCGAGATGTTGCGCCTACGCCTCCCGTACAGGCTACAGCCCTGCTGCAGTGCTGCGTCGTGACCTGACGTGTCTGTCTAGCTGTCTCGTGGTACTAGTACGAAATTTACTGACACAACGCACTAGTGCATTTCCCAGCTGTTGAATTTCACCTACCATTGGAGTGACCCTGTTTAAATGGTAGTTAAAAGTCTTTTAAGTCCCTATTACATCAGATGTTTGAAAATTAATTATAAATATTAAACGTAGACTATTAATAAAACTCATTCATAATCTTAGACTAATTCACGAGACAAATCTTTTGAGCCTAATTAATCCATAATTAGCCTATATGATGCTACAATAAACATTCTCTAATTATAGATTAATTAGGCTTAAAAAATTTGTCTCGCAAATTAGCTTTCATTTATATAATTAGTTTTGTAAGTAGTCTATATTTAATATTCTAAATTAGTGTCTAAATACAAAGACTAAAGTTAAGTCTCTGTATCCAAACACCACCTAATTCGTACTCTAATATTCTCAAATGTACTGCTACTACTACTACAATACTGCATGGATCCAAATACTCTTATAAACAGTTAACAGATCGATATTGTAAACTACGAGTAAAAAGTATTCCCTCCGTACTCGTTTTGGACAGCGACACGGTCTCCAAAACATAATTTTGACTTCTTGTTTCTATAAAAATATATATTAAAAAGTGATATATGTATACTTTTATGAAAATATTTTTCAAGAAAAATCTATTCATATAATTTTTACATTTTCAAACTCAACAACTTGAGAGTTATTCATGATTTATATTCCCAATGTTTGACTTAAATATTGTCCTAAACGACTTCCATTATGAGTACAGAGGAAGTACAATTTACCCCCGAACTATTATGGTACGGTAGTACAATTTACCCTCTAAACTATAATAACATATATTGTATTCAATACCTCAAAACTCTTAAAACCAGACGAATACCGGGGCACTATTTTGGACGGTTTTAGGCTAGGTTAGCTGACTTGGCATTTCTAACGCGGCAAAAAATAACAGGCCCACTTGTCAGTGATCCATATATTCTCACCTCATCTCTTCTACCTCCTTCCACCTCGATCTCTCTCTCATCCTTGAACCGAGCAGTGAGGAGAAGGCCGCGGTGGCAGCAAAGACTACTCCCCGGGTTGCTTGAGGTGGAGCGTGGTCGGCTAGAGAAGCCCAGGGCGGTGACGGTGCGCGACGATGGCCATGATGCTAAACCGCTCGTTCTCACGGGGGGAGCACTGCGCCGCCTGGAGCACCTCCCGCGCGCCGCGGTACCGCCCTGTGGCCACCGACCGCGCTCGTACTCTAGCGCCAGCACTGAGCCGTTGCCACCGCTAGAGCTGCCGATCGGATTCTATTCCAGGGCAACGACCTCGACGTTGGGCCCTTGTCACCATCACATTTGTCATCGCAAGCCTCACCGTCAGTGCCACCATCTTTCTCGTGCCGCGCAGCACGGTGACAACGACGATGTGTCCCTGTTGCCGTCGCCGTCGCAGAGCGCCGACTTGCAGAGCTCCAACTTGACATAGTATCCACCCAGGTCACTGCACAGGCGCACACGCAGTCCATGCCGCTATCCCTCCTTCTCCCGCCTGCATGCCAGCCCCAAGAACACGGTGACGAAAATGAGGCCAACGTGCGTGGCCGACTACTGCTAGGCTGAGGCCGACCTGCGGTCAGAGAGGCGAGGCCGAGAACGAGCGGCCAATGCTGTCGTCGCCGTTGAAGGCAAAGGGCGCGGCCGACGCGCTCGCGCGTAGCCTCCACCTCCTGGGGTCCATACTTGTCGACGCCCGCCTCTTGCGTAGCTCCATCTCTCCGGCAACACCGCCGTCGTGCCCGACGCGGACGCACCACCAACACCAACACCGCACCACTCCGCCGTTGGCCGCACGAGCGTGCGCACGAGGAAGAGAGAGTAGGGTGACCGGGGAGGCGTTAGATTGAGGGAGAAGTATGACAAGTGGGCCCACGGAGTTTTTTTAAAACTTTTTTGCTGACTGGACTGACACGTTGGCATCTCGTAGGTAAGCTCAAGTCAAAACCGCTAAGAACAATATTTAGGTGGTTATTAGTCTAGTATAAATAATTGAGAGTGCAAAATGTCTACGTGAGCCTTCACGTATACACACAATGTATACAAACTAACAAATATTATTTTTTTAGAAAAATGTACATGTACTTTAAATAGTATTTATATATACGCGTGAAGTCCCATCTTTAAATTTATCATATATATATATGGAGAAAAAAATCTAAGACTTATATTCATAAAGCTATTAGAATTTTTTTTAAGTATGAAATATAATGAATTTGAGGATAAAACTTTACGCATACGTATAATAGTATTGAAAGTATATGTATAATATTTTTAAAACGTTTTAGCGATATTTAGTATAGTTGGTATGTACAGTACGGAGTATGGACATGAAGTTTGGTCCTGTTCGAGAACCCAACAAAGGGCAGATTAAGTTCTAGATTTTCGTGGCACGCTTTTCAAACTGTTAAACGGTGCGTTTCGTGTGAAAATTTTCTATATGAAAGTTGTTATAAAATATCAGATTAATCTTTTTTTTAAGTTTGTAATAATTAAAATCTAATTAATCAAAAGTTATTACCACCTCGTTTTACGTAAAACATTTGATCTTCATATTTATCTTCAGAAGATTCAAACAGAACCTTTGTGTGCCCAAGATATGAACCTCTTAATTAACAAATAGATATAGTTGTATAGCTATAGCTGTTGGGCGCACAGCTTTTTCATCCGTGAATGGATTACATTGTAGAAGTAAAACTTATTTCGAAAACTATACTGTATAAGTATTCGACACTGGCTTTAATTAGCTGAAAGGAAACTTTCATATGCCCTTTTATGGACCAACATGTCGCACGGACCACATTTGGTATAAATCCACTGAACACGTTTGATCTTTTCCCGCCTACTTAGCTGGAGCCTTATCCATTAATTTCAAACAGTTAGTAAGTCCTCAAATGGACTTTGAGAGTCACGTGACAACAACTAGGGTTTTTTTTTTTTGGGGGGTGTCCACTCGATCTTTCATGCATATTCACACCTTTCGCCTTTTCTTTTGAAAGATCACGGTTAATTTAGTGCTATATTAAAGAAAAGATGAATAGTTTAAAAAGAGAGCAAATTAATTTAAAAAAGATACGAATATTAGTGAAGTACCTAATATCAAATAATTAGAAGGGATAAGGACCAAGGTCATCTAACCCAGCCGGAAGACCTCTGGGTGTTTCTCTAAAAAAGAGCAAATTAATATTCAGTTGATTTAGAACAATCGGGCTAAAACCGCCATACAACAATAAATACACTAACTAGCTTTTTTTTAATAATGGAATAGATAACATCTCGGCCTTTGCTCAACAGAGCTACAGCCAATTATTACAATCTAGCACTTAACAAAGAGTGTAGTTCAAATAGAATTAAACACACACCTAAACATAAAAAAAATGACCAGACCAATATAAGGAGCACACAATTATTTAAGTCTATTTGTGAATCTCCATCCATAGTTGGCAAAAAGTTGCATAACCGTCGTCTCAAGCTTACGACATATAACTTTCAAAAGCTCTCCATCTTCATCACACTTTTACGGTTGTGCCCAAAACCGGAGCCAATATGTTGCTCTGAAGAATGCCTGCATAAATGAAATAGATAGTGATTTGTCAAAAATCATATCATTCCTACTCAATCACAGAGCCTAACATATAGTACAAGCTTCTACAAGAATTAGTTTGCTCCTTTTCTTGTTCACCCCCAAAGCCAACCATCAAACATACAATGTATGAAAGTAGGAAGGTATAAACCAAAAGAGTACTGAAACGCTCCCCAAACAAATTTTGCAAAATGACAATCTATAAAAAGATATTGAATAGTCTCATTTTTCATACATAAACAACATCTTAAGCTGCCATTCCAATTCCGTTTTGCCAAATTGTCTTTGTTAACATAACCCCTTTAAGCAAGTACCACATAAAAATCTTAATTTTAAGCGGCATCTTAAGTTTCTAAATAATCTTATTTCTCTCAATGTAACCATTATTAATTAAGGCTTAAGGCTAGATACATTGACCTTACAGAAAATAAACCATTTTGATGATAATTCCATCTAAAATAGTCAGTAGATTGATTCAACTGAATATGTACAATAGAAGCACGCAATTCATGCCAATATACAAGATTCTGACCAACTAAAACTCTTCTAAAAGAAACATTAAGCGGAACAGATCCCATGGCATTAGCAATAGATAAATTTTTCCTTCGAACTATATAATATAAAGATGGATATTTATCTTTAAAAGCCATGTTTTCTAGCCATGTATCCTCCCAAAACTTCATTTGTTCCTCATTATTCACAATAAAAAAACTCATATTTTAAAAAATATTTTTAACTTTCATAAGACCTGACAAAAAATAGGAATCACCCTAACTAGCTAGCAAAGCATAACCACGACAACAAAACTAACAGCCTTAAAACAAAACGCAGTTCACTGTACATTGGTAAAAACTCGCCGTCATTCGTCATCACACCACCGCACACATGATCAGGCGACTCCAATTTTGATAAGAATTAAGAACCAAGGAACACAACTTTACCTGACCAAAACCGAAGTCCGTTTGACTAATGCTTTCGATGCCACATATCATGGCTCCGACTTCACAACCACCGTGCGACCGAATCATTTCATCATTATCATATCTTATCGAATGAATTACTAATAATCTATCGAATGAATTACTGCGGCACAAGCTAAGACTATCTCTATCCTATTTTTTGTTGTCTTCCTCTTATGATATTACTCCACTGCTTTTGGACCACACTAGTGGAGCTAGGTTTAGATGTACTAGGTTTTCAAGTTTGCTTTACTTAGAAGATAGCTGAAACATGATTTCAAATAGACAAAATAGACCAAAGTGGAATTGGATAGAGAAAAGATTATAATTGATGTATGAGTTAACTAAGCGTCACCACAAAAACATGGTTTCCAGTGTTATTGATGGTTCGGTTTTTCCTTGTCATATCTAGTGAGCAAAACATATGGTTTAGTGCATTGACCCATTCACACCCAATTGATTATTCATTTCATTCCTAAATTTTGACCTAATTCCATTTACACATACCGTGAGTTTATTTTTTATTTTTTGCGGGGAACACCGTGAGTTTATAATACAACTCGTAAAGAGACAAATCATTGTGATAAAATTATACTACTGTTAGACATACACATGACTCCCCTGCAATAGAGTTTACGGATGTGCCGAGGTTAAAAAACCGCTCCCTAACGGCAAGGTCGCTAACAGCAATAACGGTTGAAAACAAGTGAAATTCAAACATTTTTTCCGCAAAATAAAATTTAGCTTGGATTTGTTTGAACTTAAACCAGTTATATCGAACAATTTCAAATGACCATGTCGATCTATCCAATGACTGTGATAATCAGTCTGTTAGCGTCGTAGAAAAAGTCTAGATGAGAAAAGTATCGAGAGGATGGGCGAACATAGGTCAGCTCGACCACCAAATTGACCCAACCAACTTGCATGATCGATCTTTGCCGTTAACTACGTACCTCCCCTCCTACGAGTGCACAACACCACAAACCAGCTTGTTTCCTCCATATCACAAAAGGTAAATATAAAAGACTGAGGAAGTATAAACATTTGCCGCCACCACCATTGATTATCGAGTTCATCCTCTAGTCCCCGCAGTCCGCAGCAGAGGAAAGAAAGCATCCAAAAATCTAAGCCACACCAAAAAAATCCTTTTTTTTTTCTTCTTCCTTCCCTTTCCTCGATCAGCATCATATATCCAACACAAAAATCTAGCACCAAAGATGCAGCGAAAAGCCGAGAGAGATGCCTGCCGGTTCCGGGGCGGGGCGCGCGACGCCACCTACGGCTTGCTACTGCTGCTGCTGCGCAGTGCAGAAGCCCACTCCACTCCGCGCGAGACATCCACTTGCCCGGGCCCGGCCGGTCCGCTGGTCCCCACGGCGCCACACGCCCCGAGAACCAATCACGGGGCCTCGCTTCCCTTTAAAATCCCACCACCCTCTCCTCCCACTTGCGCCTAGCCCCACCACCTCCACCACCTCACCTCCCCCTTCCCTTCCCTTCCCCTCTTCTCTCCTCTACTAGCTATAGTATAGGCCGCCCCCGTCGTTTTGTTAATTTTCACGCCGAAATTTCCACCCACACCACGCGCCGCCTGCCTACCTGCGCCTGCGCGAGCTGCAGATCGATCGACGAGAGGCCGCGTCTCGGTCGCGGGGGGTGGAGTTGATCGATCGATCCAAGGAGGGGTATGATGAGGAGGTTTCTGCCGGTGGGGGGAGGAGGAGGAGGAGGGGTGGAGCCGTCGTCGTCGTCGACGACGCCGCAGCGAGGGGAGGCGGAGGCGGCGGGGCTGCGGTTCGGTGGGGGGGACATCTCGCTGGGCCCGCACGGCGGCGGCGGCGGCGGCGGCGGAGGGGGCGGAGGGCATGGGCATCAGCTGCAGGACGGGAGCGTGGACTTGCTGGCGCGGCACAGCAGCTCGCCGGCCGGATTCTTCTCCAACCTCATGGCCAGCAACGGTAAGATCGATCGATCGATTGCGCTAGCCAACCCATTGTTCGATTTTATTTGTTCATCCGTGTTCAATTTGGCGTCGCGTGCGTGCATAGCTAGCCCATCGTGTATAGGCGTATAGCTAATTGGTTAGGACTACTCAGAGTCACGGATCTTCAATTTCTAGCTTAATTCTGTCAGGAGAGAACGGCTAGCTGTGCAAATGTCAACCTCGTCTTTGCCTTCACATGCCCCATCTCTTTCTCGTCACACACGCACACGATCGAAGTATCGATCGATCACATGAATTGCTGTTCTAGGCTTCTAGCAACAACCACCAAAAAAAACGAATTCCATCGATATTATTGTTAATGGTGTTCTTTCTCTCTCAGTGTTTCCTCCACACTGTTTCAGATTCTTCCCATACTTATCCGAAACCAAACGGGTTTGATCAATCGATCGATCTCTGTCTACCTGGTTCTTAACTTCTATGCAACTCCCATCACTACTAACTGCCAAAGCCACTAGCTCGCTCGGCGACGACGAAATGCTGATGAGCTCGCGCTATCTAGCTAAGCTCGATCCCTTTTGCAAGTTGCTTCTGCGGCGCGCGCGTGAATCGATCATCGCGTGCGACTTTTCACCGGTCCTAACTGGTTTTTTTTTTGGGTTAAAAAGTGGTTTTCGCTAAGGCCGTCATGGGAGGAGCTAGTGTGTATATCAGACTACTATCAGTATGCGTTGTGGATATCCATGGATGTGTTAGTCTGCGGCTTTTTGCTACGTGAGTTGCCATAAATAGTATCATGGAGATCCTCTGTGCCCATTTTTCTACTCAGAGCCATTAGCCATAGGCTCCTATATGTGGTTAGTAACTTTTGTGTGATAATAATGCATGTTTGCCACAGTTAGGGTCAATATATATATATATATATATATATATATATATATATATATATATATATATATATATATATATAAGCTGTTAATTAAGGATCCACCATGAGATGTTATATCCATGAGATTATGCGGCTTAATTGTTTTCGTGATAATGTAATATGAGTTCAAGTTTTTAAGGCATATGTTATTACGAGGAGTGCACAAATTTGGCTCGGCGTGTAAGAAGGACGATGGAAAACTATGGGCTACACAGGAGGCGGGTTTTCTCAAGTAGGGTATCATCGATAGTGAAATGTGGGGTCTAGGGTTTTGAATACACCGCTTTTATTCTTTTTACGTACGCTTTTTATAATCGAGTGTCTCTAGATTGTCTTATTTTCTATTGCAACTTGCTATAAATGGCTTAGTTTTTTTGCCACTTGCACCTGGTGTCCCTCTCTCTCATTTGATCCATTATTTTCAGTTGCAAAGTCATTGCGCATGACAATCCATTCTTCACTACAATAGTAGACATGGGGAAAAAAAACAATTTGAAGCTATAGTGGAGAGAGCAAAGAGATAGATGTTTTTTTTTCTAATTTAATTTGTTCATAATAAGACTAGAAAACCATGCATTCATCTTCCAGGATTTGCACAAATATGTACATTTGATTAATTAGTATCACCATTCACCAACCTAGCTAGCTAAAACAAGCTCTTTTTAAAAATGTTTTTGGCAAGTATTCTCATTTCATATAAAGGATACCTATATGCACCTCATTTGATGAAAATCATTGCAAAATTATGCACCATCATTATTTATTCCATGAGTATTAAATTAATTCTGCGTCACAAATATTCAACGTTTTAGAGCATACAGAGATAATAACCCTTTAATGAAAACTTCAAAATATCATTTATTCAAAAATTAGGAATAAGTGTGTCAATATCTTTTTGAAATGCAGATCAATATGAACATAGAGTTATGTTATAATTAATTTTCACACTACATATATACCAACATCTAAAATGGCCTTTTGACCGAGCAACCTGTATACAACAATTGGTAAGGATAAAAATAGTACCAGTAGAAATGTCGAAATCCACATATAAGTACTACACCAGTACTAAATTTAGTAATTATACTTTGATCGAGGTAGGAATAGCCTCGAGTAAAGTTTAAAAGAGTCAAATGTCTTTCAGTGGAGCCCATGTAGCAGCATTTCTTTCAATGCGGCAGCCAGTTGCACTCTAGATTCTGCTCTAGATAGACCAACTTGCGCATATATGATCAATTAATTAGTATCAAGACAGCAAGCACAATTAAATTACCAGTGGATCTTAGTGCCTCGAACCCTAGCCAAGGCAAAAAGAAAAAGATGAGGGCATTTGATTAATTTGTGGATTAATTAATTTTTGATCAATGGATTAATTAGGGCGCCACTTGCCTTAATGTAAGGCGGGGACCACGTGTGTGTCGCCGCAACTTGGCCTGCGGGGTGGGCCCCCCGGTTTGTCCAGGTTCAGCTCCTCTGCTGATGGCCTGACGGTGACGTCACGGTCTTGCCTCGCTAAAGATAGTGACCTACGGTGCGTTGAGATGGCATGCGTGATTGCTCGGCTTCTTGATTTGGCGTTTGCTTTCTCTCTTGGCTGCGTCTATGTCAGCGTGCGAGGCTTGCTCATATGCACGGGCCGGCACGCGGCATGCACGTGCTAGCGTGTCCGGTAGGCTTCAATATACCATCTGTTCGCATCGTAGTACAAAAAAACCGAAGAAACCATCCGATTCAATGAAGAAAATTATCCATATTCTTAGGTTGTTGTATTTTGAAATGGAGAGAGTACTTGTTCTTATTAATTTGAGGAGAATAAGATCGATCCCCTGGAAGTAGTCGTAGGTACGTTCAAAATAAATATAAAATAAATATAGTGTAATGTGTGCATGTCAGTTCACTGGTCAGAAAATAATTTTCGCGTCATTCGCAGCAATTTGACTAGAAATTTACATTGTGGAATAAAAAAATCGTGGGGCCAAAATTTCAATGTTTTTAATGAAAATTTTAGGCTAGATCTTGGGATTTTCTTTTTTAACACAGTACAGACACAAACATGCATATATACACATGCATACTCAACGCTCTGAACATACACGCACACCCTATCACTATATAAGCACCTTTAAAGAGGACCGTCATGAAGTCGTCACAGACACTGTCAACATATTTTAAAAGTTGATAACCAACCATTTTGCTAAGGGCCTGTTTAGTTTGCGAAAAGAAACATTTTGGGTGTCATATCGGATGTTTGACCGGATGTCGGAAGGGTTTTTCAGATACGAATGAAAAAAATAATTTCATAACTTGCATGGAAACTGCGAGACGAATCTTTTAAGCCTAATTAATCCGTCATTAGCACATGTGGGTTACTGTAGCACTTATGGCTAATCATGGATTAATTAGGCTCAAAAGATTCGTCTCGCGATTTCCTCCCTAACTGTGCAATTAGATTTTTCATTTATTTATAGAGAGAATCCCTTATATACCACTGAAAATTGGTCTAATCCCTTATATGCCATTGAAAATTAGTTCTTCCCTTATATGCCATTGATCCAAATTTGCACACTCTCTCACGCCACTCCCGTCAGTTGACTATGTGTTGACCGTTAATTCTTAAGGAAAAAAGACGTATTTACCCTTCTGAGTATAGGGCATGCCTAACAACTCAGAGAGGGCAATATGTCTTTTTTACTTGAGAGTTAACGGTCAACACACGGTCAACTGACGGTAGTGACATGAGAGGGTACGCAAATTTAGACCAATGGCATATAAGGGAGGAGCCAATTTTTAGTGGCATATAAGGGATCAGATCAATTTTTAGTGGCATATGAGGGATTATCTCTTATCTATATTTAATGCTTCATGCATGTGTTCACAAATTCGATGTGATGTTTTTTGAAAAAAAATTTAGGGAACTAAACGGGGCCTAAGTTAAAAAATTCAAATACTTTTTGGGCTTCTATTGGGACCCAATAGTAATCCAAAATTTGAAACCTTTGATTTGAATAGCGATGTAACTATTGGGCATACAAGGTTTGAAAAAATGGTTACGGCCGGATTGCTAACTTTGATATTATTTTCATCCAAAACGACCAATACTGAATTGGAGGGAGTAGAAATTAAGTTGCAACACGTAAGTACATGTTTGACGATGTGCTTATAAGTAACTAGTAATAGCTAGTAAAGATGAACGCAAATGCAAACACTAATTTTAATTGTTTTTGTCTCTTTCATATATATAATATTCGTCTCACTAACGATCTACTACTCTTTCTAATTAAGGTGGTCGTTTGAACTCATCTTTCTGTAAGTTTCATATTCTTAATACTTGTGACCACTCAAAATAGACCTTACATTTTAAAATGGATGGAGTACAACTTTCTGGAACATATGGTTCTAGTCACGAGAATATTCCTCTCATATACTCCCTCCGTTTCTAAATATTCGATGCCGTTGACTTTTTTAAACATGTTTGACCGTTCGTCTTATTCAAAAATTTTAAATAAGTATTATTTTTTTCCTATCATTTGATTCATTGTTAAATATACTTTTATGTATACATATAGTTTTATATATTTCACAAAAATTTTTGAATAAGATGAATGGTCAAACATGTGCTAAAAAGTTAACGGTGTAAAATATTTAGAAACGGAGGAAGTATATCCTGTATCTATCGTGCTATTTTGTGCTGGGGCAACTCGGCCGGGCCACTTTTAATTTCGTAGTGCTAGCTTGTAATTTTTTTTAATTAGTTAGTAGTGCATAGTGTTGATGAATGGTAATTGTTGTGGTTTAAGTTATGTTTAACTATAATAACCGGTGATTAGTCAAGTTTAATTTGTACATGGATTTCAAATAGAAATTTGGTAGTGTTTAATTATGAAAATATTTATAGAACCACTATGCATATATAACATTACACCTGCAGTTAAACACACATTTGAACATGAGAATCAAACCTAACCTTAATTACGTGCACCTACTACAGAAAAATATTGTAGAATCAAATACACACTACTCCATTCAACCTTGGAGAAGCAAGTTTGAACATCCCATCACATCTAGGTTAAACTTATTGCTCAACACGTGTACCTATAGAGCTAGCTCTAACGGTATGCTAATACCGTAAACTATTGTTTACTTGTCACACTTGGCAGTTTTCAACTAGCGTTTGGGTAACAGTAGCTCTTTCTCTCACACACACAGTTAATTTAACTAATTAGCGATCATTAGTTAATTTCCGTGCTTGCTACTTGGCAATAAACTAAGCAGGCTTTCCAGGCTCAAAAGGCGGGGGAGGCAGCGGAGCCGAAGCCCACCACCACCCTTCCATGGCCGGCAGCGGCAGCGGCAGCAGCAGCGGCGGGAGGAAGATGAAGTCCCAGCTGAGCTTCACGGCCGGGCCGCCGCACCTCTCGCACATCGCGGAGGACGGCGCCTTCCCCGACCGCGCCGGCGCCGAGGCCTCCGTGCCCCGCACCTTCTCCGCCGGCGGCAGCAGCGGCGGCGGCGGGTTCTCCATCGTCGGGCCGTGGGAGGAGTCCAGGGACATCATCTCCACCCTCGGCGGGTACGAGTCCCAGGTAAAGATTGCTCGGCAAATTTGATTGCTAGGGCTACCTTCATTGAATCATTGTACACTACAAGGCTTCTTGATCTCTTCATCCCTTGTTTATATTTACTAACATTCATAAGAATTTGGACACATGTATGAAACACATACATTTATACATGTATGAATCTATTCAAAACTCAAAACAACTTATAATAATTAATGTAAAACAGAGGAAGAAGTAGTAGCTAGCTTTGCTGTGTTTGTGATATATATATATATATATATATATCGCGATGTGTTCTTGATTTCTTGGGCGTGTTGGAAATGGGGGCAGTTCGGCGGCATGGCGAGCACGTCGGCGCTGGAGATGGCCGGCATGGACAGGTACCTGCAGCTGCAGCATGACCAGGTGCCGTTCAAAGTGCGGGCCAAGCGCGGCTGCGCGACGCACCCCAGGAGCATCGCGGAGAGGGTACGTACGCAATATCATGATCAAAACGCCTCTATATTTGCTTTTGCTTTCTCTTCAGATCTTGACACATGAGCATGTACGTCGGTGTGATCGATGCGCGTCCGTAGGAACGGAGGACGAGAATTAGCGAGAAGCTCAGGAAGCTGCAGGAGCTGGTGCCCAACATGGACAAGGTGGCCATTACGATTTGAACTTTGCATAATGTTCATACCTATATTTACATGATATTTGAGGAAGAAAGGAACATCCCTAGCTAAGTATTTTCTTTTAAAAAAAAACTTTCCACATTTCTTGTGCCATTAGCACACAGATTCATGTTTCTCGCCTTAATAATAGACATGGCAAATGCACACGCATTCACCCATGAGTGTGCACTGTGAAGTGTCCCTTAACACATGCTCAACAAATTCATGGACACCAAGCGCAAAATCATAACCTAATAGAATTTCTAGAAAAAGCGTATCCATGTTTGTGTAGTTAAATTCTATAGGCACTGAGATTAGAGCTTTGGTGCATGACAGCCACAACTCCAACACCATACCAAACATGCTTTCTCAACAAATTCATGATTATTGTATATAGATGAAAGGGGTCGTACGTTCTCTCATCTAGTTCTAGCTAATATTAATTAGCGGTAACATTTTTTGCGCATGAATAATGCAACCAATTGAGTAATTAATTATGTTCGTGTTGCAACAGCAAACAAGCACAGCGGACATGTTGGACCTTGCAGTTGAGCACATCAAGGGTCTGCAGAGCCAGCTGCAGGTACGCATATTTGAGGATTTCTTCACAAGGACTAATCCCGCAAGTAGGGGATAAGATTGAAAATTCACATTTACATTTTTTTTCGTGAATGCGCAAAAGGCGCGCCCATCAATATATTAAAAGGAAAAGAGGTTTTGTTACATAACGCAACCAGCTAGACGAGCCTATGCGAAGGAAAGGAAGAAACGAAAAAAAACCGACATTGTCTATCATTCCCTTTTGTTCTAATCAATTTGTCTTATTTAAATCTTTTCCCTCTCAAGTGATGTATGGGCTGGTAATTAATACACCTCTCAAGGCTGAGAGATAACATATTTTCTATTTAGATTTGTTAGCGAAATAGCCGTGCTTTGCTACAAATAACTACAAATTATATGCATGCTAGTATTGTTTGGAACAAATTAACTACGAGGTGTGTTAGAAGATATATTCATCCCTGGGGATCTCTTTACACTATAAACTTTGTATTTTAGAGATGAAATAAGATAGAAGAAATATATATATAAGAACTAGTTTGTAATGCTGAAGCATATTGATCGGATAAGTAGTTGATAAAAGTATATAGCTAGCATATTCACTGGTACTATCATTAATTGTCTTCGTCTACAAAAGTATAGATCACATTTGCCATTATAATGGTTATATACTTGGTTAGAACTCGTACGTGTTGCCTTTTTTGGTTGTTCATATTTTCATTTTTTAGCCGAGGCTCCAAAACAGAAGCGATATAAACTTTTGAATTTTGTGTCGTCTTTCTGCGTGCAGGCTCTGAAGCATGAGCAGGAGAAGTGCACTTGCTGCAGCAGGCCTTGATTGATGAAGCAGTGAGACGGCGAAACTGAAAGGTATCTATCCTTAGTTTGGAACCCTGATTACGGATGATACTTTCATATTTCCTTGAGAGTAACGCATGCGTGGATGCATGAACCAATTAATGTCAGTGACACAATCCAAATCGACCGTGAGCATTTTGTCGAAATGTGTAAATTGTTAGATAGGACATGGCAAGGGACATGTATATGCATGCCTGCATGCATGAGTGAGTGCATGGAGCTAGCTACTCCGAAATAGCGGGGTGCAGCCATTGTGATCCCTTAATTAATTCTCGATCCACTGATGATTAATTAGCTTGTAATTCTGTCTTTAAACCTTTTTTTTAATGACGAGGGGAGAGAAAAAGAAAATGAAATTTTGGTCAGCATGCAGAAAGAACTACATTATTAATTCGTGCCATTTGGGGTGCTGTTTATAGCTAACCTTCTCGATCGATCACCTTTGTGTGTCTCAAGTTGCAACCATACTGGTTTAATTTGTGCTTTCAATGTAGGAGGACTAATGCAGTGTACGTGTTACGTTGATGCAATAAAAATCACCCTTTTTAAGTTATTGCAGCAATTGCGTATGCATCACTACTAAGAAACGACTTTTGGGGCGTTATTTTCGCAGGCCTTTAAGTACATAGAGTATTTGACCGCCTACAAAAATGTGTTTTGACGGTTTTTTTTAAGTAGTGCATGATCATCTCGTCGATTCACCTGTATCACTGTATGTATGGTTAATTTGGGTTTCGGAGTTGGACTATGTCTCAGCTTAAATCGTTTCCAATCGAATTCCACACCGCGCGCGCGCCATGCCACAACAACTGCTGCGTCGCACCCACTTGCACTTGCACCGAGCGCCATGGCGAGTAGGCCGGTTCATCCAATCCTCGTCGCGTTCTTGGCGCTGCTCCTCGTCGGCACTTGCCAGGCAAGGCCGGCTCCGGGGAAGGCCGCGTCGTCGTCGTTGTCATCGGCGGCGAAGGGGGCGGTGGTGGACGGCATCACGGACATCTACAACTTCGGGGACTCCATCTCGGACACCGGCAACTTCCTCGCCTTGATGGAGCACACCGTGGCGCCTCCCTACGTACGGCGCGGCCATCGGCAGCGCCACGGGGCAGTGCTCCGACGACGGGTACCTCATGATCGACTACCTCGCCAACGACCTAGGGCTGCCGCTGCTCAACCCGTACATCGACAAAGGCGCCGACTTCTCCTACGGTGTCAACTTTCGCCGTCACCGGCGCCACCGCCCTCGACGCGGCGGCCCTCGCGAGGATCGGTGTTACCGCGCCGCGCACCAACAACTCCCCCACTGGAGCTGGACGCTCAGAGAGAGCTGTTGGTGTGCGAACGGAATTACTGGCGCTGACGGTGGAAGGATGAGAGTGTCACGGAACGAAGAAAATATCGCGTCCAAATGCCATATTATGAAAGTAGTGCGAATTGAGTGGTCTATCCTGAAAACGGTGCATATTCGGTGGCATATTCTGAAAATTCTCGAGCAAGAGAAGCTGGCGCGAGCTTGCTGGTGATGGTGGGAGAGATCGCCGCGAACAGGCCGCGAACAGGAGGTCGTAGCGCCGCGCGGACGTCGGGCGCATGATGACCGGCGTGGTGGAGTCGGTGGTGCTCGTACCAGAGGTGGTGCGGTCGCGTGGTGAGCGCGGCGAGGGAGGTGCTCGAGATGAGCGCGACGCGGGTGGTGATCCCGGGCAACTTCCCGCTGGGTTGCGCGCCGAGCTACCTGGCGGCGGTGGACGAGACGGAGCGCGCGGCGTACGACGGGAACGGGTGCCTCGTGGGTCTCAACCTGTTCGCGCAGATGCACAACGTGCTGCTGCAGCAGGGGATCCGGGAGCTGAGGCGGTCATAACCGGAGGCCACGATCGCGTACGCCGACTACTCCGGCGCGTACGTGCGGATGCTGGAGGGCGCGCGCGACACGGGGTTCGACGGCGTGGCGCTGACCAAGGCGTGCTGCGGCGGGAAGTACAACTTCGAGATGGAGCAGATCAGCTGGGATGGCGTGGCGTCCACCTGACTCAGCGCGCGTACAGCGTCATGGCCGAGCTTCTCTACCACAAGGGCTTCGCGTCTCCTGCACCCGTCAAGTTCCCGCACCAGTAGATCGTCTGGTATTTGCAAGTAGTGAAAATAATGTAAGCTGTGACATTTTTTGACGAAGATGTAACCCATGATTTAGTCATATCATGTATTCCTTTTTTTTTTCAATTGGTACAAAAAATAGCAGTATCAATTCTTTTTCACTGATTTCAGGACGCTTCTAATTTGGATTTGCCGATGCTTCACGAGGGTGTTACAAAGTTGCAGCCACCCCTATTCCTACTTTATTTCTAAACTGATGTACAGAACGTGTATTTATGTACTCCGTGGATACAATACAATGTGCCTCAGCTACAACATTGTTTATGGAGGAGTACATATATGAACTACATGCTACGGCCTACTCCTCAACAGGAGGATCCACCCAACGGCCATGGTCCTTGATTAACTGAATCAAGGCGTCAGTGGCCCCCTCCATTGCAATGCCCCGTTGCACGACGGTCTGCACCCAAAACAAGTAGAACTTGTGTTAATGGAAGGAAAATGGCAGCTCTAAGTTTTTGTTTCAGCTCAAAGAGCATATATATGCCATGCAGTTAACATCCCTACTGTTGATTGTGTTTGCATGATCATGTACAAATATTGACTTGCAGCTATGTTCAACGATATACCGTGATTTCCATTATTCCATTTGATATGATTCAACTTCCACAAGTATAGGAAAAGGTTACCTTGCCAACATAAAGGTCGATCTTCCCAGGAGCACCTCCAACGTATCCGAAATCAGCATCGGCCATCTCCCCTGGCCCATTGACAATGCAACCCATGATAGCAATCTGCCAGGCAAATGTAGACATGATTAGCCATCAGGCTAGCTAATATGCGATTGAAAACAAGGGAGGCAGAAGGTCTGTAAGAGAGTTTACAGAGACGCCTGGCAGATGAGAGGTCTTCTCTCTAATCTGAGCACTGACTTCTTGGAGGTCAAAGAGTGTCCGCCCACAAGAAGGACAAGAGACATATTCCTGCAGCATTAATTAACGGTCAGAAATCGCCAAAAGAATGTTCTGCTTCACAAGAGAGAATTGCCTAAAGTTATTTATCCTCTTCGGTAGGCTATAAGGTTCATTTACTGTTAAAAGTGCAATTTTGCACTTCTTCATGATATCTCACGAGTTAAAGGTTGACGTTGTTCATGGGATCTACAGTCTAACAGAGAAGAATTCATCAGCTTACCGTTTTTGTGTTGCGCATCCTGCAGCCCTGTAACAAGTTGAAGGATGTGTCCCTCAAAAACTCAAATTCCTGGTCAGCAGCTTCAAGAAGTACACCATCACCAAGACCATCAACTAGAAGAGCACCAACATTTGCCCCAGCACCAATAACAAGGTCATCTCTGCATATAATTTAACTCAAATAAGCACAAGAGAATAAAGGTACAGTAATTTCAAGGGGTAAGGATGGGCGGTCAATGCATCTCTTAATAAGCACTTCATAGTACCTGTTCACGCTTTTGGGGAATTCTATGTGATGGATTACAGGGAAGTTCAAACCGTTGGTTTCTAAGTACTCAAATAACCTGCAAAACATTATTAAAAAAAATAAAATTTTAGGTAAAGAGAAGTACAGAACAATGGAAAACCAGGTGGAAACATTGGTCTGTATGTCAGTTTTCTGCAGAGTCAAATCCATTTTCATTTTTCATGCTTAATGTGTAACTTAGAATTGACTATCGGTTCATCCCAACAAATGGTAATAATGGAGGGAGTGGTATTAACTGGCCTACTGTGTTCACTTACCTCCTAGCAGCGTGTACTCTGCCAGTCTTCTCTTCACCATAAGGAACACTGTGCAGTAACATTGTTATATCATCAACACCCTTAAGAAGATCTAGCTGTTCATATGATTCATCTCCACGAAGGGTGACAGCCAATCTAGTGCCTACATAAAAAAAAGATTCATCAATAAAACAGACTAAGCAAAATGTTAAAATACAGAAAATGACATAAACACAATTCACAAAACAACAAAGATCATTATCAAATTCAAATGTCTACCTTCTGGCAAAAGTTTGTGTGCACCGCTTGACAGTTCATCCACATTGACAAGAGCAATTGCATGTGGGAGTGGCTTTGTCAGTTGCTCTGATAAGGGAGTCAACACACCCATGCTGATGTCAACTAATCTTTTGAGTGCAAGCCTCTGTACCATTTTACAGATTTCAACACAAAAATTTTAAAGGAATAGAATGTTAATATAAGCTTGTGATTTGTGAAAAGAACAAATAATGTTGAAGGAACTCACAGCTTGAGCATCTTCTACAGGTGGGAGCTCCCTCAAAAGAATAGAATCTACAGTTGCCAGATCCTGATATTCATAGAAAAATTAACATCAGTTTAGACTGAAGTACCAATAAAGTTTAGTTGTTTGCTAGAATGTACAGCTATAAGGATCAGACCTTGAAAGGCATGCCAACCACAAGCTTTGCAGCAAGAGACCTATAAAGGAGCTCAGGAGCCTGAAAAATAAGAGAGCCTTCCATCATTACAAAATGCATCAATTGATTTGATTCAGATAGAAAAAAATCAATGCCTTCTTTTTGCTATTGCTATTCTCACTATGTACTATGAACTATGCATAGAATGCATGGAACATGGCTACTGAAAATATCATGTTGTAGAATTGTATATTACAAAATAGACTATTGTCTTGAAATATATTTTGGTAAAGTTACACAAGATCAACACATTGCACAAAAGGGTAACAAATATGTGAGTTACCTTCAACTGATCCAAGGAAACTGACATCAAAACAGAGCCATCACGGTGCAAGACCCCTCTGTAGTCTACTTCCTCACCCTGTCATAAGTGCAACTAATAAGAAATCTAGCACTATTGTTTTTATGATAACTATGGACTATAGGAGTTATTTTGAACTAACCTCCTTTTGTAAAGGCAACTGACCACTTCTACGCTGGAAATCAAAATAGCGCCTGTGCTTTTCTTCAAAAGGAGCCTGAGAACATATAATGTATATAAATAGAAATTCTTAAAAGAACAAATAGAACAAAACACTACTAAAAATAGTCAAAATTAATGTGTGGCATTGGCAGCTAAACAAGAGAAAAGTGTAAAACTAGAGAAAGGTAATAAATCGTTACCACTCCTATTTGAAGGTCTGCGGCATGTGTGCCAAGATTTGCCAATCTCCGGCAAGGATCAATCTCTTCTTCAGGTGGTTCCGTGAGGGAGACACGGATTGTATCGCCCAAGCCATCCTGTAAGACAACAAAAGGAAGACATAAGGCATGCTTACCCTTTGCAGATGGAAAGATATGATATATGCAATATAATACACAAAGTAAAAATGCAATTACCATCAGAAGTGTTCCAATGCCAATGGCAGACTTCATCCTCCCATCTTCACCCTCTCCAGCTTCTGTAACTCCCAAGTGCAAAGGATAATCCCACCCTAGGTTATACATTTCTGCTACAAGCAAGCGATATGCTTGGACCATGATAACAGGGTTACTTGCTTTCATTGAAAACACAAAGTTATGGAAGTCCAGCTTCCGACAGATCCTGGCAAATTCCAAAGCAGACTCAACCTGAAATTATTTGTAGAACATGTCATTCATCTATCAAAACGATCATTAATTGAAGACATCCATGAAACGAAAAGTTATTTGAATGAAATCCCCAGAAAGGAAATAATACCATTCCGCGTGGAGAATCACCATAGTAACTCATTATGCGGTCAGACAGACTTCCATGATTTGTTCCTATACGCATTGCTCTTCCATACTGCTTGCATTTCTCAACCAACGGGGAGAAGACCTGAAATGATATGGAAGTGGCTATGCAAGTAAGGAAACATACTGCACATTCTTACTGACTAAATTAACACTAAAGAGTGAGATATTTGGAACCTTCTCGATATGCTCAAGCTCTTTTTGATAATCATCTTCAGTATATTCAAGCTGCTCAAATTGGGCACGGCGATCAGCTGCAAGTAGAGTTCTCAGCATATGCACAGAGTTGATAAGATATTGACACTAAAATGATACACATCATTATTTCACTCACCAAAATTCCCTGGGTTGACACGAATTTTGTCAAAGCATTCAGCCACTCTTAAAGCAACTGTCGGGGCAAAATGAATATCAGCCACTAGGGGGATGTTGTAACTGTTGAAATGCAAAAGCAAGATGAGAATTCATTCATGAAAACTCACTGAATCTGGAAAAATGATGACTCTTACTTCTTCTGAACAAGAGTGTTCTTAATCTCAAAGCAGGCATCAGCTTCCTTTCTACCCTGGACTGTTATTCTAACAAAATCAGCCCCTTTATCTGCTATCCTCATAACCTGGACCAGTGCTATACTTCGTTATTTCACTAGTCATGAAACATAGAACATCTAAAAGAACACATGATTAATGCATGCCCAGCATTCAATTATTCAAGCATAGAATTAAAAACTAAAACATAGAACTTCAAATAGGAGTGTACCTCCTCTACGGTTTTAGCAACATCCTTGGTATCCGAGGTGGTCATAGTCTGAATCCTAATGGGATGATCACTGCCAAGTGGCACATTCCCAACCATCACAGTGCGGGTTTTTCTCCTCCTTGTCTCATATATAGATTCACAATACTTTTGCCTGGGAACTAAAGAATAACAAAAGGGCAAAAGACATGCTGTCAGATTCTTTACAGAAAAAATGTTCATTCAGTTAAAAGCACTAAGAACAACTAACACGAATATACATGCAAGGTGAACAACAGCCGGCGAGTTATACCTAAAAGTGGGCTTCCTTCTGAAGATGGCTCGAGCTCCATGGTATCAGAACCGGTACTTGAGCTCTTGGCCACAAGCACCCTGCCTCTTGATGAGCCCACCCTTAGAGTAGCAGGAACCGACAAGATCTTAGCAAAGTCGACGCTCCTCGTGAAGCCGATGCCACCATCACGGACCCTGACATGTGGGAGCGGCGCTGGTGCCACTCCGGTGGCCATGGCTATCTCGAAGCACCAACTTCTGGGTTAGGCAATCCTACAAACAGGTGCATGGCAATGGTAGAGATGAGCACAGGGTCATCTTTGTGGGTTTTAATGGACAGAAATGGAATATTCCCTTATTGCTTCCAGTCCAACAACAGGACAACCATGGTGTGTAGTTATTGAAAATTAACTATTTCACAATTCGTACAAAATACTGACATATCAACAATTAGCAAATTTAATAACTTTACTTTGCTAATAATAAGAGAGGTTGGTAGGACAGCATGAAGAAACTGATGCTTCTACTACAATTCCAAAGAAAATCAAAGTATAGCACCAATCAATAAGCCTGGTCTTTTAAATAGCATTTCCACTTAGAAATTGAACATGCTTGCAGAAAATTGAGATAAATATTTTTTTTAAAAAAAAAAAAACTGATTCGTGTATCCTTCCGGCTAAGAACAAAGGGAGAAATAAGATGGCATGAACTCTTGATAGCTCAAAAAAAACTAAGAAAAATTAAGAAAAATCCCTCCTAATCCAAAGATAATGCTCTCTAAGTTGATCAAATCCCGAATTTTCGCAGCCAATCTCAAGAGCTCTACAGCCCTCTGAATCATAAAAACCCAAACCTTCTAATTCCCAAGCAGAAGCACGAATTCCAGCAGCTCCCCCGCAGCAATTAGCACCGACAACGCCAGCTCCCCCGCTAGAATTCCAGCAAATAAACCAAGCACGAATTGCGCCCAACCAACCACCACAGGAGGATCCACCCGATCGGCGTCCCCCCAACACACAAACACACACACATACACAAAGCTACTAGAAATCTCAGGAAGTAGAGATAAGGCTCCCCAACCTCGTAGCTCCCCTCCGGCGACCGCGACGAGATCAGCAGCGGCGAGGCGATGCGATGCGGGGATGGAGACAGAGTGCGAGAGCTCGCGAGCTCGGCGAAGAGGACGACGAACTGGCGAGCGAGTGGTGGGCTTTCTACCGGATTAGCCCATTTATCCCCAGAGGCCGGCGCCCCCGCACCGCGCGGCGCGTCGTGTGGACTCGGTGCACGAGCACCGCGTTGCCGTGGGCAGTGGCTGCGTGTGGGGTCCAAGAGATGAGGTGTTGGTGGACCGGGTGCATGGGAGGGGAAGGCTGACGGCGTGGGGTTGGAGGTGTGGAAGTGGGGTTCCGGGCTCTCCCCGCCATGATTTAATCGTGCCCGTCGTTTTCCCATGCGCTTCGTAATTCCATTATCATTTTGTTTTGTTTTTATTTTATTTTTTATTAGTTCACGATGGAGAGAGGCTGTTTTGTTCGTTTATTATTTCTGCCATTTGTTTTTCGTGGCCGGCATGGGATTGTATTGTACCATGAAAAAAAAATAGTTTAATCTGGTGCGAGAGATGGTGCTTGAGCCAGATAAAATTGTCTGATTGTTCCGTATTGTTACTGGCTAGAGGAGAAACTTCACGAATATTCATGGGTCATCGAAGGATGTTTTTTCCTTGATTTGTTGGATAATTCGAATATTTTATTGAGAAAACAAAAAGATAAATTTGGACTTATTTAAGACCCAAAGTTCTTTCACGGCAGCTGAGGTGGTGGAATGGGACTGTCTAAGAATCTGGTGATAGTTTTTGTAGGAAAAATATTTTGAACATAACTTATAGTGTAAGTTGTATATAGTTATATTATAATTGCTATGTGAAGTATATTGTAATTAAGGTGTAATTTTAGTTTTAATTCAAAATCAGCTGATAATGTTATTTTTAAAGTATTTGTAATGATAAAATAAATGATAATTATATTTTGTAATAAGATAAATCATAAAACGTATGCCCGAAAGTCAAGATGCTAAACAACAAAAACCATAGGGAGTGCAGTACTATTTATTGAAGAAATAAAAAGGATATTAACATTCTTTAGAAATAAAAGAAACTTGATGTTGTTTAATAAGGGGAGAAAAGGACATCATTTAGTTCATTACATTTCAACATTTCTTCCATGCATGTACTTTCGATGTTTGATCGTGACTTTGACAAGGAGATCGATCTTAATTAGCTAGTGCAGCTTGAAACAAAGCTACCTGCCCAAACATACACACACATCGTCGTCAAACCTCATGTTCAATGCCAAAGGGGAGTGTGGTTTGAGCGGCTGACTTGTTGTGGAGCAAGGCATCCGCGCGCGACGGCCGCCGAAGACCATAATCACCTTCTGGTCCGGTGGCATGGTATGACGGGTAGATGACAATATTGAGACGATGGCCAGTTCAGTCACACCACATGTGTTGACCTGGAGCAAAGCAGATGGCACGTTTCCCTGAGACAACCGTCTCCATGTGGGCGGAAGTTCTCCCACACATGTTTTGGGTCGTGGGAACTTTGGGAGCGTTGAAAGGTAGGCATAAAAACCGTGGTGGAAATTTTCGACCCATCAATCTAGTGTTTTCGTAACAGTTATACTGTTTTCGTTTCTAGTTATATATAAAATCGACTCATGTTGTTTTAATTTTCTGTTATGTTGATGTCGTCATTGAATAGTTATACTGATAAATACGGAAAATTCTTGACGAACCAGTAACCGTTTCCAATCTTTTTACCTCAGATAAATGTGCAACCTCATGTGAATTTAAATGCGTGCTAGCCGGGATGAAACTGGTTTGGATAGTTTCCGTCCGTCCGAACCATTTTTCGGATTCGGATAGTTTCTGTCGGAATTATCCAAAAATTCTCGGATTCGGAAACGAATTTGGATATTTTTTCTCGGAAACGAAAACGAATACAGTAAGGATACTATCCATCGGAATCGAAAAACGGTTAAAAACTATCCGAAATTTTTTTCGGATATCCGCAGATATTGAGCAAATTTTATAAAAAAACATGTATATATACATAACTTTTTCATACGGAATCAGATGAAGACAAACTTCATATCAACATTATAGAGCTCGATGAGATCTACAACTTTATTATTGACTATTTTATTATTTAAGGTCATTTAAGGGTCTAAATATTCATTATAATATACCATATTAAATTTTACAAAATCTCAGATCTACAATTCAAACGACATCTGATGGAGATGTGTTCCATATCAAAGTTGTAGAGCTCAACGGGATCTACCACTTTGTAGTTTATAACATTTGTACTTGAAAGCATTTAAAGTATAATACATACATTACAAGTTTCGAAGATGTGAAGTAAAATAAATAACATCTCCAATTTATGCAATGGTAAATAAGTTATACATCTAGTAAAAGGTCTTGGAATAGAAAATGATAATCATATTTGCATATGGATCTCTTAGAGGAACAACCATGAAAATCGATTTTCACATACGATTGTGGAACCGTCTATAAAATTGACGATATAAATGTTGGAGATATTTAACTAAAATAATAAGCGATATCTCTTTCTTAATCAAGAAACTCAATTTGAGGGGTTTTTTATATACCGGTAAATATTCGCTACTGTATTCGTTCCATCTTATATTCGCTCCGTATCTGTATTCGATAATATTCAATTTTATTTCCGTATCCGAGTTTTCGATTTCGAATCCGATTCCGAAAAAAAAATGAAAACGAATATGATAAAGCTAGTTTCCATCCGTTTTCGATCCGTTTTCATCCCTTGTGCTAGGGCATACTTATGTGGGTGTAGGTATGACATATGTCTTCCCCTTCATTCTCGCTAAGCTAGGAATCATTCTTGTTCCCGATTTCCGTCTCTTGAGCGCGAGACTCCCACACTAGAGAAGAGCGAGCGGGAGGGCGGTGTCAGATGGCGTGATCTTAAATCGAGCGATCTGATGAGGTGCGGGTAGAGGAATCTAATTTCTGTTGTTAGGGGGGCATTTTTTTATTCTAGGGAATTAAATTTATGCTGTCTATTGAAAATAAGTATATTTTTAATCCTTAAATTCTCATTAGAGAATGAAAGGCAGATTTAGGAAGAGACTTTCAGGCAACTCTTGGCCATGCTCTTAGAGTGTCAAATACAGGAATGTATAATAATACTTAACCAAACAATATTATTAGAGTCTACAGTAATTATCCTAGACTGTTTAATTAATCATTTTATAGCAAAAATGAAAAAGTCAATTACCCAACTTTCTCCGATCCAGTCTATGAAGTCCAACAAACCCAATACGACAGCCCAATGTATTACAGATTGAGTTGGGCCGCAAGCCCGCAAACCAAAACCATACTGTGAGGTTGTCAGTGCACGACGCGAAGGAAGCAGAGAAAGGTCAGGGCACATATGGTTGGGACCGCCTATGCATCACTCGGGTGAGATTTTTTCTTCCGAAGAGAAATCACGCGACAAACGTTTAGCAAAATCGCATATGGTTTTATTTATAAATCAAAACGGCTCAAACTTGAGTAGTTTTGATCAGAAAAAACGCGCAAGCCATGCAACACCGCCTCACGCGCGCGCGCTGTTCGTGAAATTTATCGGAGGCGGGTGCACGAGGCCACGGCGGAACAGCAGCTCGGCCATGACGCCGTACGCGCGCTGCGTCAGGTGGACGCCGTCCCAGCTCACGTACCTCCCCGGGTCCGCGCACGCCGCCGTCCCCGGCGCGCCGCACATCGCGCGCACGTCGAACCCGTACGCGCCCCCGCCGCCCTTGCCGCAGCACGCCCTGAACACGCGCCGCTCGTCGAAGCCGAGCGCCGCTGCCCCGTCCAGCGTCGCGGCGTACGCGGCGGAGTAGTCCGCGTACGCGACCACCGCGGCGCCCCGGTACGCGCGCCGCAGCTCCCCGACGGCGCGGCGCAGCCACGCGTTGTGCAGCGCCGCGAAGAGGTTGAGCGCGACGAGGCATCCGCGGGCGTCGTACGCCGCCCGGTCCGTCGCGTTCACCGCGCTCATGTAGCTCGGCACGCAACCCAGCGGGAGGTTGCCCGGGATCACCACCCGCGTCGCGCCCATGTCGAGCACCTCCTGTGTCACAAAACCCACAAAAATTAATTTAGTTCTTAATTAATTACTTTGTAGCCAGGATTATTATTTTAAAAATAAGGTCCCAAAAATTAATGGAAAAGAATGGTGTGTACCTTGGCTGCGCTGGCTATGGACTGCACGACTTCCGGTACAAGATCGACGGCCGTGGCAACGCTTTCGATCATGCGTGTGACGTTGCCGAGGCTGTATCCACCGTCCATCGGCCAGGTCTGGAGGAAGGCGTAGTTGTAGTCGTTTCCTCCGATCTCTCCCAGCATAACCAGTGACTTCGACAGCTTTTCACGGATCTCTGCAATGCAATGCTCACACAAAAGAACTTTTTTCTTTCAGAAAAAAGTATATATATATAACACAAGATTTCTCTATATGAAAGTCATTCTAGCACTGAAAAGCTGTACATTAGCTTAATTATTTGTGAGATACAGCATTGCTGACTGGCACTGATCAGGCACCGGTCGAAATTAAGCTGAAATGCGTTTCAGTTTGTTCGTTCACCTTGAGGAGAACTAGTTGTGGAGTTCATGAATTCCTTGAACCATCTGAGCTGCACGTATATATCCGGTTGAAGTAGTACCTCAAGGTCTTAGGTTCATATCCTCTATGGATGGATTGTTTACAGGGTTAAGTTCCCTACTTCAATAGCCGTATATATCCGGTTGGATGTAGAGGCCGGGTAAAAAATACCCTTCTCTAAAACAAAAAAAATCTGAGCTGCACGTCGAGGGGGCTGTTGGTGTGGGGGACGGTGATCCGCCTGGCGGCGAGCGCCGTCGTGTTGAGCGCGGTGGCGCCGGCGACGGCGAAGTTGACGCCGTGGGCGAAGTCCGCGCCCTCGTCGAGGTACGGGTTGAGCAGAGGGAGGCCAAGATCTCTAGCTGCACATCGATCGATCATATCCACAATTTAATCCGAAACAAAAACGCATATATATATAACGTAATATAATATTGTTTCTTCCATTTTTCAGACGGAAGAGAGAGAGAAATTAAACTGATGACGTCACCGAGGAAGTCGATGATGAGGTAGCCGTCGGAGCACCGGCCGGTGGCGCGGCCGACGGTGACGCCGTAGGGAAGCCTCGTGGTGTACCGGAGCAGCCCGCCGGTGGCGCCTTGCCTGGCGAGGTTGCGGTGTCCGACAGCGAGTCGCCGAGGTTTGTAGATGGCCGTAATGCCGTCGACTACTACCGTACGTGTCGCCGTGGACGCCGCCGACGCCGCCGGCGATGTCGTCGGCGGCGCTGATCCGAGGCATGAGCCGGCGAACAGGAGCACTGTCACGAGCGGAACAAGAGCCATGGCCGCGCGCGCTAGGTTGCCACAGGGTACAGGTCGCTACTTTGAATTATTTTCCCACGCTAATTAAAGTAGGCTCGATGCGAAACGTGGCCGGTTTTTTTCGTTACGAAACTCAGCTCTTCCGTAGGGAAACCTACGCGACAGCATTAATGCATTAATCGAGTTGCTTGCACGAATCTCCAAGTGAGGGAGGGGTTACGCGTTAGGCGCTGCCACGTGTATCGATCGGCACGAATCTCCAGGCAGTCGGCGAGGGTTAAGGGTTGGGGGCGGAAGGGTTCGCTCGTCTCCCTCTCTCGTTTTTGCGGCGGCGCCCCCGAGCGAAGCAGCCGAGCACCCACCCGCCGCCGCCGCCGTCGCCGATTCATGGCCAAGTTCAACGTGGTGCAGAAGAACAGGCGCGAGTGGAAGCAGGACCGCAAGCGCCAGGCCCATGGCGACCCCAAGACCGGCAAGCTCAAGCAGCGCACGGCGCCCGTCTCCGTCTCCGGCAAGCGCCAGCGCAAGCTCCTGCGCCGCCTCAGCCGGGTACGCTTGGTTACCCCCCCCCCCCCCCGACATCTTTCCCCCTACTCGTGTCCTTCTCGCGGCGCAGCGGCATGCTTTGTGGTAGTCGTGGGGATTTCTTATTTTCTTTGTTCTTATTTGGTGGGATCTGGTGTTGCAGGAGCAGAAGGAGGCTGTGATGGCCAAGGCGCTGGAGAACAACATGGGCGACGTCGAGATGGTATCTGCGGAAGGTGCGTTTGCGATGGTCATTGCTGATTTAATTCGTTTGAAACTTGCAAGTGATTGTGAATTGCTCCACGTTCTGTACTTCTATTACACTGAATAGTGATGCTTGTTGTACAATTGGGAATTAGCTCTATTGTTGTGCAGTGATTCCATGCAATTTTACAGTAATATTGGTTATGTTGGTCATGGTTGCGACTTGCAGTGATGTCTTCTTTTATGCTCATTTTGATTATTTTGGGCCCAGTTGCAATATGGCACCATTTGTAGTCATAATTTCCACCTCTTGTTGGTGGAAGACTGACAACTAATGTAGGCAAAAAAAACTTTATGCTTGTAGTTACAGAGGTTGGAACAGCTGTTTTTCACTTAAATATAGTATTGCAGACGATGAAGATAAGGAAAGTCAGGTTGTTGCGTGACAGTGTGAGTGAATATGGTTTATTCACTAGATTTTCATGATGATGGATGGTTGTTTTTGTATGTGTTGATTCAGTGTATCAAGCAACACCATTCTGTTCTGTTACGATGAATGAATTTTACTGTTGTCTAGGTGCTCTAAGTTGTAATGTTGTGAAACTTACCAGGCTATCCTAGCTGTGTAGTAGTAATAATTTTTATTTGGCTGTATATTTACTGACTGCTATTTGGTTGAACGTCTGCTGTTAACACAAGGAACTTATCATTGTACCTCACGTGGTTAAACTAGTGTTTGAATAAATAAGGAAATATGCATTAACATTTTCTTGTTTGCATGAATTTTGGTCAATTGTTATACTCCTCTTGTTTATTTTTGGTGAGCTATAAGAAAAAATATATGAAATATTATGTTTGAGAATGACTTAGTGATGGTAAGCCAACCATCAAGGATTCTTGATAGTTAATCCTAAAGGCAGATGTCTGGAATAAATTTCAAATCACCGTTTTATATTTAGTTTGATTTGCCCCTTTTCTTGAGATTTGTTGGACCTTCTTTATGTGTGTGGGTTCCGAAGTTTATTTCCTCTGGATTATATTGAACTGGTGATTTGAGATGAGATTCTAGCATATGTTGCTCTTGGTGTTAGTACGTTTTATTCTAGGACGGCCATACAATCGTACACTCACACTTAACAACTTAGTCTAGCTAGCTGTCTGCTACTGCTACATGCGTATCCATTGTTTTGCATTGACACAAGGCAAAGTTATGATAGGGTTCTCAGGTTGTTCCATACTAGGAAGCAAGTGTGAGTCAGCATGACTAGAGTTATTAGTCCTAAGTTGACCATGTTATGCAGGGTATTCTGTTACCATGTGTTTCTTCACTACTACTGCCATGTTATCTGGATGTGCTGTTTACATAATGATTTCGTTGCCTTGTCCTCTGTTTAGGCAACCACATGTTTATTTTTATAAGTATCTGGTGCTAAATGTGACACCTGATTTTGTGTTTTTTGAACAGGCTCTTCAGAAGCTGCAAAGGACAAGTCACAACTGAAGTTTAATGTGAAAAAGAACTCAAGAGTACAGATCAAAAGATTAAAAGGCAAAGGTGAGTTATTCGTGTTTGATTGACCTGATATTTTCTTCATAGGAGTTGATCACTCTGTTTACTTATATTTAGCTTTTGTCCTGTTAGAAGATCCATTAAAGCTTTGTTGTTTCATTCTTCAGGCAGAAAGAAAGCCAAGAATGCAAAGCCGCCGACAAAGGACAAAGTTGACGCCATGGTGGAGTGACTGGATGTGGTTGATAACACTCAGCTTCTACATTGTTGAAGGGATCCGCAAGGATTGAAAATACCATGAGCTATCAAAGCATCTTTACTGTCTTAATGTTTAGTACAAGCTAGTTAGCTTTCTAATCAATGTATCCTACTAAATACGATGATCAAGACCTGAGAGGTTAAATGCATGGTTTTTGGAATATTTGTATGAAAGCCTGATTTGCATGGTTTCTGCGTATTTAGTCGTGACATCCTGTCTGCACTTCCTTTCACGTTGGACACAATTTTGATCGATCAATCAAGCAAATCACCTGACTCGCATCAGCAGGCAGCAGGGGCGAGCTCATATTCCAATTATTACATTTTCGACTCCAGTAATTACTATTTGCTAAAGGCTCGTCTTGGCTAGCTCAGGATTTAAAAAAGGGAACACTCTGCATTGAGTGTTTGAGACCATGCTAAACTCTTACGTTAAGCTATTATCACAATTCATATTGGAGTGAACGTACCATCCCGTGGCTGGAGTCAAGCAGAATTCGGTGGCACGGTATATGCTCTGAAGTCTGAACTGCTACAATCTTACAATACTGATTGGAAGCTGAAAAATTCAGCTCGTTTTCCCTGCCTGTGCAGTCGCAGAAGTCTTTCAATATTTTGTGGAGAACAGGAGTAGTGTAATTATAGACAATATAATAATGTTGGAACAAATTATATAAGGGAAGTTTCTATTTGGGCCTACGTGGGCTGGTTCAAAGGAAGCACATTAACAACTTTCCACGATCCAGTAACACAAGGCTTGTGTGGCTGACTTGTGGGCCCGCAAACAGCTAGGCGCTCCCGCCCTCCCAATGGTCTAACGCGCTCGTCTTCGGCGCGCTCAACTCAAAACCACGCCGACCGAAAATTCTCCTCTTTTCCCCTCCCCGCTGCTGCTCCTCGCCCTCATTTTTTCCGAGCACATTGGTCGCCGCCTTCCCCAAATTAATCACCACCAATCCGCGTCCTCTCCCCCTCCCCCACCGGAGGCGCCACCACCGCGGCGAGGAAATTGCGGCAACGCGTGTAGCGGCGCCTGCGCCTCCTGCCGCCGTCGTCGTCCCGTTCCCCGCCATCGCCATCGCGCCGCAGGTATGGGCCGTCTCGCGCCTATGCCTCTACCGCACTTCATCCTGCCAGAAAACCCTAACCCTAGTGCCGCCGACCAGTTGCGTATGGATCGGCGACCAGCCGCACGCGTGTCACGCCCAGAAATTCACGAACCAGAATTTCTAAGCTGAATGTGCATTAAACCCCTGTCCAGAACCAGCCAGGGTACACAAACGACAATTGTTGACATACAGATCCACGTCTTACAAAAGTATAAAAGATTACAAATGCAGCGGAAAAGATAAAAGCGAGCTAAGCCTGAAGACTTGACTCCTGCAGCGGGCGATTCCATTCCACAGGCATCCTTGACGGCAGCGGCGAAACCAACTTCTTCGAAACATCTCCAACTGAGAAAAACTTCAACTCTAGTGTGGGGGAAAAGAGAGCAAGACTGAGTACTACCCAGTGTACTCAGCAAGTCATACTGGAAGAGAAGTTATGATGCAGGATATATCCAAGGGAGGCTAAAGGTTCTTTTGCATAAAGCTAGCATTTAAAAGCAGTAGTTGAAAGCAGTAAAACAGTTGTAGTAATTAATCAATATTAACCAATCACTGTCAAACGCTACACTACGTTGCAACAGGCCCAACCAACCACTTGAACTACACCAGTTCATTAGCTAACTAGGGGTGAGACTAATCACGGTGAATCTGGTCGACCGCCCATAACCGTGGGCACGGCTATTCGAATAGTTTTACTCAGATCAGAGGTGTACAACTGTACCCACAAGACACAGCCCCACAACACATTTCCGTGCGCCGACATGCCACCACGACATACTGGAAAGAGGCCGTGACAGGACCCTTCGCATAACCCCCTCTAACTAATCACACCACACCTCGGGTTTCACCCCCACTCCTCGCAAGGCAGCGGGCAGTCCCCCCTCGTGCCACGGTGAATCCGGAAGCCGATCAACCGGACACGCTGGCCGACCCACGCGCCAGCAACTCGCGATCCCTCCCCGCTTCCTTGCCATCGCCGCCGCCCGCCGCTGCCTGGGCCGCCTAGATATGGGCTGTCCCGCGCGCCTATGCCTCTACCGTACTTCACCTCGTTGCAAAAACCTAACCCTAGCTAGCGCGGTCTACCAGTCAACTACGAAAGGATCGAAGGATCGGCCACCAGCCTCGCCAGCAACTCACAAGTCCTCTCCGCCGCTTCCTCATGTTCAAGGCCATCCCCGATGTGCAAGGTATTTGGCCGGTATCTCTCTTCTGAATTCTAATTACCGAATCCGCTTGAGGCTTTTTCGATTTGATCGGGTCTGGAAACATGAAGCGATTATGCGATTTAGAAATGTTGATCCATGCACAAATGATTGTTGCAACTTAGGTGGTGAATTATACCTCTCCCAAGCTATAGGTGGATAAATTTGCATTTGTACATAAGAGGAATAGGGGGGAGTTTGGTTTCTGGATTATTCACCGCTTCGTGTTGTGTTCATCCGTACGAGTTTCATACTATCTCCGTGCGTCTGCAATTAATTAGTCGGTCTTGCTATGCTGATATGGATGTCGCTCATTCTCCTGTCTGTCTCTTGCTTTCCCTGCTGAGTTTGTTAGCTGTTTCATATTCCAAATTGCCTTTATCTTATTATTTGATCACATTTTCATTTCCTACTATCGATCGAACTATTTTGTTTCCTCTAGTAACCATTTAATAGATTTGGAGAATATGTGTATCTTATTAATCGATGTTTTTGTGATTGTGCATAGATCTTCCCCAACTATCTTTCTCTGATTAAGTAACCTCGATACTGAGCTTGTGAGATCACTCGGACGATTCCACTTTTTTTTTTTAAAAAAAATAAACAAATGCAGAAGCTCTGTTTCATTCATTCTCTTAGATTCCACGTTTCGGTTTATCCCGAATCCGAGTTCCATTTTTATAGCCATGAGCTTTTTCGTTGTTACAAAAGGATCCACAAGAATTATAAATGTTTTCAGCTTGAATCATTGTTTGAATTTGCTCTGATAAGCTTCAATCATTTCAGCTTGGTCTTAAAATGAAATTTCATCATTTATTCGCTTGTGGTGAAGAGGCTAATGATTGCAACCCAATCCACCCAACTTCAACACCAACAGTTATCTATGTCCAAGTGCCAGGGTATCTATCCCAGAAGAAAAGGGTGTCTGGACAAAATCTGATTGTTTCAAAGGTCCAGAAAGTTCTTCCTGAGGAATCAAGAATAAAGTCAGATGCTACAATAAAATGGGCACTTCAGCTTCATAGTGCTGGCTATTCTCTTAGTGGAAAATTTCAGGCCTCTGATCTCTGTGTCGATCCATCAACAGAATTAAGTGTTTAGTCACAAAGAGTGCTGCTTAAGAAAGCAACTATGAAGAACAAAAGGAAGGATTTTAAAAGATTGAGGCTAATTATCAAGCAAGACATCCTTGGAATCAAATGTGAAGCTGACCTCCCAAATGATGTCAAATTGCTATTGGACCTTCTTAAAGACTATCATGCTAGTGACTAGGTATTAATTGCTCATCACCCGGGGTTGATGAATGAAGATAACAAGATTTCTACTATATTCCACATAATATTCACTGAACTTGAAGCTCTAATGGTAACAGATGCCGTGAAGTATCAGCGCATCATCTCTGCTTTGGCTTCGCTGTATGGAAATGGTTGCTGGAAACCTTACGCCTATTGCAACAAGCATGTCAAGGGAGTTTTTGTTGACGGCTGTTAAATACAAAATTCTCGCCGTCAATACCTGCATAAAACCATAAAAGTAAAACATCCAATATAGTGATAGGATTTATTTCTAACCATTTCCACAAATGTTGGTGTATATTCGTATGCAGGTAATCAACTACCAAAGATGGGAAAGAATGAGCATGAAGAATACAAATATATTTTGTGCTGATGGACCCACAAGGTTTTGAGCTACAGCATATAAAATGTGCAATCATTTTGAGCCAAAACATGGTGTACCATAAAGTGGGGCCCACATGTTAGCATTCTGAAGAAGGATATGGGCCAGGGGAGCCGGCCACAGTTGGACCGAACCCCCAGCTGGCCCAATCCAGCCCAACTTCGGCATGATAGTTGTACTTCTCATCCTATGACGGTTGTGGCCGTTAATACCGGTGGAAACCGTCATCAAAAGAGACACTTGGCAAGAGAAGGATGAATATGCTATTTGGATTCTATGGAGAATATTCCTTAGCATCTCCACTCTCTCAAGTCACCTCCACACTATAAATATCCCTCTCCTCTCCCTCATTCACACACACTCCAAGCTTGAGCTGAATTATAAGAGGCTCTATTGTACTACTTTGTATACTAGAATTAGAAAGAGAGTAGAGTAGAAGAACTTGGAGGAATTCCGGAGTTCTCGGTAATCCTCTCCTATTTCTTTTATTCTGTTAATTACTCTATTTTCAATAGAAATATCTTCCTGAGTAATTTAGATTTACTTGCAAGAATTATCTATTGGTTAGTTCCTAATCAGCATACGAGATTATTGTTCACTATAATCAACTAAATTATAATAATTGCTTTAGTGAGTTATAAACACTAGAGTAGATATTAATTGCTTACATATGGTGTTTAGGTAATTTATATCTAGTAATTGTTGTGTATCCCACAATGCGTAGGTGGTAACAGCCCTCAAGAGCACTTAAGTCCTTCCTGTTCGGGTACGTAGTAGAGCGACATTTGGGAACAACGGGTTGCCAGTGCCTGAAGTATTGCGCTAGGATTAAAATTAAGCTTTCCTTGGACACTGTTTCTCACTAGAAAATCGTCTCTATTATTGGCTAACTTTAGCTTTGTGTCCTTAGATGAACATGATAAGAAAGTAATACACATTCCTTGTGGAAATCGATAACTAAAAATACTCCCGGGTGAAGTGCCACATCGGTATCTTCCATGCGCTTGCGAATTTTATTTGAAACGTTAAGAAATACCAACAGTTTTCACCTTCAAAAACCGCATGACCAACTATGAAGATTCTGCTGAAGGGTTTTATATCTTTACAGAAACTACTTTCACCATATGATAAAGGATCACTCTACGCATGTCCAAGAGGTAAAACTGTGGTGTTTTTTTGTGCACAAACAGATGGAACACATGTTGGGC